TTTCTTTTACTTTTCCAAGAGGGGAGTGTACTGGGGGCGGGGGGAGGGTTGGGAGGGGAGAAAAGTGCAACAATGAATGAATGGAAATTCAAAGTCTCTGTAAATTTTCATTGAAATTAATAAGAAAAAAATTAAAAAAACAACAAACCAAAACACAGAGATACCAGCTCCTGACGCAGTGTGCCCAACAACCTCTTCTCACCCGCCCAGCTGTCACTACCAGAAACCCTGCAGCTGCCACCATGAAGAGGAGGGAAATGAGCTGGAGTGAAGGAAGGGAAGGTGAGAGACGGAGGAGAACTTGATGACAAGGGAAGAAGGGGACCAGGGCAAGAGTCACCCCCAACCCTACTTACCGACACACGGGGAGTCCCCGACACGGCCAACCATCTTATTGATGATACCGCCTGTCGAGGTTGCATAGGCTACGTTCCCTTTACAATCCAGGGCAACGGCACCCACGGTCCCCAGATTCCTGTCAACAGTCAACACAGCAAAGTAACCAATTCAGGAGGAGAAACACTGTGAGGTGACATAATTTAATACCATGTAAATCTCCACATCATTTGTTGTAAGGAAATGGGGTACACTTTGATCCCAACATTTCAGACTCATTTCAGAAATAGCAAAGAAAGCCTGTGTGGTTTTTAGTCTACACTCAACCAGTTTCAGCTAAATTGCTTTGTTGTTGTTGTTGTTAGGTGCCATTGAGTTGAGTACAACTCATAGTGACCCTGTGAACAAAAGATCTGAATCCTGTTCTGTCCTGTGCCGTCCTCACACTTCCTGACGCATGAGAGCAGCAGTCACTGTGTCAATCCACCTGGTCCAGGGTCTTCCTCTCCTTTGCCGACCCTCCACCCTTTCCAGCATCATGTCTTTCTCCAAGGAATAGCTCCTTCTAGCAACATGTCCAAAGTGTGTGAGGTGAAGCCTCATCATTCTTGCCTCGAAAGAGCACTTCAGCTGCACCCTCTTCAAGACATATCTGTTTGTTCTCTTGACCGCCCATGGGATGTTCCATGCTCTTGTCCAACATCACAGCTCAAAGGTGTCAATTATTTTCCGATCATCCTTATTCACTGTCCAGCTCTCAGATGCATAGCAAGTGATCAGAAAGACCATGGCCTGAATCAGATACACCTTAGTCTTCAAACTGACATCACTACTCCTAGACATCTCTTATTTTTAAAAAATTATTCATTCATTCATGCACACCTTCCTTCCTCCCCTCCCCCAATGTCTCTTGTAAGGCTATTATTAATTGTCATACACACAGTTTTTCTAATTGTCCATTCCTTTCAGAAAGACATTTCTTTCGTTCTCAACTTCAAGTACGTGTACAATCTCAGCACCACCATTTTCCAGTGGTGTGACCTTCCAAAGCCCCCAACAAAGTAAAAAAACAAAACTCACTGCCATCAAGTCTATTTCTAGACTTCAAAAGAAGATGGGAGAAACACACAATCACTGTATTGGTCAATACTGAACCGTTTCAAGAAATAACATATGATCAAGAACCAACTGGACTGAAGGAAGATGTCCAAGCTGCACTGAAGACAATGGTAAAAAAAGAAGGCTCCAGGAATTGATAGGATACCAACTGACATGTTTCAACAAATGGATGCAGTTTTGGATGTGCTCACCAGCCTATGCTAAGAATTTTAGAAGAGAGCTACTTGGCTAATTATTCTCATTAACATGTTGCCGCAAATGACAGTAATACATTGAAAAAAATGTGTTTTTTAAATTTTTTATTTTATTATTATTTTGTGTGTCTGTGTAACATCAAATCAGATCTCACTGGTACAGGAGGAGATTGTCCCTCCTTTCCCGGCAGAGCATCTGGTGGATTCGAACCATGTGCCTCTGGGATTGCAGTGCAGCTTCTTGCCACTAGGCCACCAGAGCTCCCTGAAAAAAATGTGTTTCTAAGCACAAAAGTGTGCGACAACATGTTAAAGAAAAAAAAAAAGATGATCCAACAGGATATGGGAGACAAACTGCATTGGAAAAATCTGCCGCCAGGAACCTGTGCAGAATGATGTCAATCTGACATCAATGATGTCAGTCTGGAGACTAAAGTGCAGCTGATCCAGGCCATGGTCTTTGCAATTACTTGCTATGCATCAGAGACCGGGACAGTGACTAAGGATGACAGAAGAAGAATCGATGTCTTTGAATTGTGGTGCTGGAGAAGAGGATTGAATATACTGTGTACTGCTAAGAGAATAAACGGGTCCATTCTGGAGAGGGTGAAACCAGGCTGCTCCTTGGAAGCAAGGATTATGAAGCTCCCTCTGATATACTTTGGGCACGTTGCAAATAGGGGCCAGTCCTTGGGAGAGGGACATCATGCTTGGAAGGGTTGGGGGGCAGCGCAAGAGAGGAAGACCTTGGATGAGAGGGATTGACTCAGTGACTGGGTAATGGGGTAGGTGTGTCAGAGACGATGACATTGGCTCAGTATAGAGCAGGGTTCTGAGCTGTTGTACACAGGGTCGCTATGAGTCCAAGTCAACTCTACAGCACATAACAACATCATTAATATCACATGCAAAGAAAATCTTATTGAAGATTATGAAAAAAATGGCTGGACAGAAGTCCAGAATGGTTAAGGGAGGGAGGAGTGGGGCTGAGGGGTGTGTGTGTGTGTGTGAATCCTGATGTGACAGAGTTATGAGGGCAGAGTGAAGGGCTGAAGGAATTGGGAAAGATCCAGGCGGGACCTTCTAAGGTGGGGTCATGGTGGGCATGGATCAATGGTAATTGTTTTTATAAACAAAGTGTATGGAATGATTATATGAAACACAATGTGAACAGAGGAATGTGAGAAACACAGTATATATATTAATTTTGCATGCAAGCCAATATAAAATAATTTTTAAAAAATGATAAAAAGAAAAGAAATAAAAAAACATGAAAATAAATGGCTGGAACAGTAAATCAAGGAACTGCCAGAAATTCAACCTGCATTCAGAAGAGGCCGTCGAACAAGGGATGTCACTGCCACTGCTGATGTCTGATAGATCTTGTATGAAAGCAGAGAATACTAGGAAGACATTTACTCGTGTTTTATTAACTCTGCAGAAAAATGTGACCATGTGGATCATAACAAATGATAGGTAACACTGAGCAGATTGGGAATCCCTGAACATTTGTGTTTACAGGAAATCATACACTAAGAAGCAAAACAAAACAAGGGAATGCGATTTAAAATCAGAAAAGGTGTGCATCATCAGAATTGTTTCCTTTTTCCTTACTGATTCAATCTACGCTCAGCAAATAACTGGAGCAGCTGGACTATAGGAAGAAGAACGGGGCATCAGGATTGGAGGAAGACTTATCAACAACTTGTGGTATGCAGATGATACAACCATGCAGAAAGTGAAGAAGACTTGAAGCACTGAAGATCAAAGACTACAGCTTTCAGTATGGTTTGCATCTCAACATCAAGAAAACAAAAATCTTCATCACTGGACCTATAGGCAATATAACATCATGACTGGTGGAGAAAAGAGGCAAGTTGTTAATTATTAATTTTACTTGGATCCACAATCAACGTCCATGATTATATTAGTCAAGAAAGCAAAATAAGTGTTGTAGTGGGAAAAATCTGATGTTAAGAACCTCTTTAAAGTGCGAAAGAACTAAGATTAAAGTTAAAAGGCTAGCTAGCGTGGGACTGATGCAAACCATGATATTTTCAATTGCTTCTTATGCATCTTGTTGGCTAATGAACCAGGATGAAGGGTGGCTTTGAATTTTTTGTTGGTGAAGAGTATCAAACGTCCCATGCACTGTCAAGAGAACAAATAAGTCTGTCTCAGAAGTACAACTAGAGGGCTCCTTAAGAGGCAAGGACGGTGAAACCTCATCTCAGGAGGTGGGGCAGTCCCTGGAAGAAGACAGCATGCTGGGAAAGGTCGAGGGCCCATGAAAGAGGAAGACCCCCTAAGAGATGGACACAATAACCACTGCAATGGGCTTGACCATGAGGGAGATCGTGCTTCAGCAGAGAAAGGCAAGGTTCAGATCTCTTGTTCATAGAGTTGCAGTTTGACTGGACGGCACTTAACAATTACTATTTTAATGGCTCAGGTTATTTTCAAATTTTGCTTTAACTTAGGGAGCTCTTAAAATCCGTAGTTCAGGATATCTTAATTCAGAAATATGATAATTAGAAGTTTTAAGAAGTTTATTGTTTTCTGTGTCCTCTGCAAGAGTGCTCAAATAGACAGAAGGTAGACCAGATCACAGACGACGATTCAGTCTACCTAACGGTACAAATGGAGTAAGAAGCACCCAGGTGATTCGCACCTTCACGCAAGCAAGACTTTTCCGCAGGGTAGCATGCTGGAGAAGGACTCTTGGCACCAGCTGCCAGGAAATTAGAAGACGTATTACCATAGGAAAGTCGGCTGTTAGGGACCTCTCCAAAGTACTGAAGAGCAATGGTGTCTCTTTGGAGACTAAGGTGCGTCTGATACAGGCCATGGTCTTTGCAATCACTTGTTATACATCAGAGAGTTGGACAATGACCAAGGAGGATAGAAGGAGAATTGATGCCTTTGAGCTGTGGTGCTGGAGAAGAGTACTGAGAATACCATGGACTGCTAGGAAAATAAACAGATTCATCCTGGAAAGGGTCAAAGCAGGCTGCTCCTTAAAGGCAAGGATCCTGAGGCTCCGTCTAACATACTTTGGACATGTTGCAAGGAGGTCCTTGGAGAGGAATATCATGCTTGGGAGGGTGGAGGGACAGCGCAGGAGAGGAAGGCCCTCTATGAGGTGGATTGATTCAGTGACTGGGATAATTGGGATGGGAGTGTCGGAGACAGTGTGATTGGCACAGGACAGAGCGGAGTTTAGGGCTGTTGTACATAGGGTCGCTATGAGTCGCAAGTGACTTGACGACACATAACAACAACAACTACACTGAGTTATTCACAGGCTAGCAAATGAGTTGAATTGAACAATCAGTAAAGCTGTCTCCTATACTTTAGTTAGAATTATTTTGTACAAAACACAAACACCAAATGATCATCCACTTTAGTCAAGTTTTTGCCTTGTACACATGCGCAGATGATTGTTGGCTTCTCTTTTACGCATGCGCAGTAACACGGCAAGGGAGCCACGGAGGACACCTACTTTTTAGCATCTGGCTTCTGCATCTTTGCACATTTCTCCTTTTCCAGGCGCCTGGTGTTCCTCTCTGTCACGAGCTGCTCTTCGGGAACCTGTGGGATCCCCATGGCTGCTGCAAACTTTGCTGCCCCTTGGTCGGTCAGAAAGCAGTGGGATGTCTGAGCCAGAAAGAAAAGGAACAATGGTGACTTTTTTAGAAATTAAAAAAACCCTCAACCTGTTCCAACTCTGTGCAAAGGCTTAAAAATGCAAATAGCACTGGCTAGCTTTTCTGTTGAAAAGAGCCAAAGGGGTTGGGGCTGCCTGAGCCACCTTGTATTTTGGCTTTTTTTTTTTTTAAAGCTTTTTTTTTTTTCTTTATTATTATTTTGTGTGCATGTACCGTCAAATCAGATCTGACTGGTACAGGAGGATATTGCGCCTCCTTCTCCGGCAGAGCATCTGGTGGATTCGAACCGTGTTCCTCTGGGATTGCAGTGCAGCTTCTTGCCACTAGGCCACCAGAGCTCCCCTAGGCTTTTTATTTTTTAAAGGAGTATCTTCAGGGTTGTGACTTTATGTGTTCTCTTAAATTCACACAACACCGTTAACTACTCACTTTGAGGATTAACATATACCGATCCATGCTATCTTCCAGTCATCGTAGAGGTGTGTAAATGACTAGGGAAGCTTTCTATGAAGATGGCCCCAGCCCCTTCCAAAACTGAAGCCTAAGCAAAGCTTTTAAAGTCCAAGAAGGGCGTCCTGAAGGGCATCCACAGCCACATAAAAAAGAAGATCTGCACAACGCCCACATTCTGGCAGCCTAAGACGCCGAGACCCTGAAGGCAGCCTAAATACCCGCAGAAGAGCGCCCACAGGAGACACAAGTCTGATCACTAAGCCTTCATCAAGCTTCCCCCGACCATGAAGTCAGCCATGAAAAAGATAGAAGATAACACACTTGTGTTCATTGTGGATGTCAAGGCCAACAAGCACCAAATCACACTGCAAAGCAGCTCTATGACATTGATGTGGCCAAGGTCAACACCTTGATTAGGCCTGATGGAGAGAAGAAGGCCTATGTTCACCTTGCTTCTGACTATGATGGTTTGGATGTTGCCGACAAAATTGGGACCATCTAAACTGAGTCCAGCTGGCTAATCCTAAATACAAATTTTTATCACAAAAACAAAAAAAAAATGACTGAGCAAGACTCAGGAAGAACGAATGCCTTTGAATTATGTCATTTGTGAAGAATACCGAGTATACTGTGGACTTTTAGAACAATGAACAAATCTGTCTTTGAAGAAGTGCAACCAGAATGTTCCTCAGAAGGGAGGATGGTAAGACTTTGGATGTATCATCAGGAGGGACGAGCTTGGCAAAGGGCAGAGTCAGTGAAAAAGCGGAAGACTCTCAGGGAGGCAGACAGGCACCTGGGCTACAACAATGGACTCAAACAGTAGCTATTGTGAAGGTGGCCTAAGAGCAGGGAGTGCTTTATTTTGGATGAACACAGGGTCCCAGTGCAACAGTCTTGATGGCAGCTAAACGGCATCCTTGGTAACGGCAGTCAGGAAATCAAAAGATGCACTGGGGGAATCTGCTGTCGGGGTCTCTTTAAGGCGCTGAAGAACAACAATGTTAGACTAAGGTTCACCAGATTCAGGCCAGTCTTTTCAATTACTTGCTAGGCACCTGAAAGTTGGACAATGGCTAAGGATGACAGGTGAAGAATTGATGTCTATGAGCCGTTATGTTGGAAAAAGAGTACTGACTATCGCCTGGACTGCCAAAAGAACACGTATGTCTTGAAGGAAGTAAAATCAGGGTGTTCCTTGGAGGCAAGGGTGATGAAACTTCATCTCATAGTTAGGGCATGTTATTGGGAGGGGGCAGTTCTTGGAAAAGGACATCATGCTTGGAAAGGAGGAAGGGCAGAGAAAGAGCCTTTGTAAAATGGACTGACACAGTGACTGAGGCAGTGGGGTAAAATGTAGCAGGGCGTGTGAGGACAGCACAGCATAGAACATGGTTCAGATTTGTTGTTCACGTGGTTGCTGTGAGTCACAATCTGCTCCCTGGCCATCTAACAACCATGACCATAACAAACAACACAAGAACACTAATGCACTGTTCTGTTCAGTTTCTGTGTGCTGGACTGGAGGCATTGAAAGAAGGCTAAAGAAAAGAGAGGAAAATAACATGAATACAAAATAATTACTGGTCAGGTGATCATTGTCATGAGAGTCAGAATCTTGGGGTACTTGAGAAACGCAGATAATGTTGCCTCTGCTCTTGTGTTTATTCTTAAGAGAACAGTGACATTAAGGACTTTCCCTCAGACAGATCCCCTTTTTAGTAATGGAAATACAGGAGGGGCAATTCTGTAGGAAAAGAATTCTTTAGTCAGAAAATACCTTTTCCATAACAAGACGTGCAAGTTTGATGGGATTTGCTATACAGCGAACTGCAGATACTGCTCCTGTGGACAGATCTTTTCCATCCATGATACTCGCATCCATTTCAACTTCACCATTTACGTTCAAGACAGAACCACAGCCTAAAACCAAAAAAAAAGGTTGAAAAACAAGAATTAATGACTTTAAAAAAATGGCTTTGGGGCTTCCTCTAACTTCCCCCTTTAACTTATTACTCCATTGATGGTGGTGGTAACTGCTGTCTCACAGTGGATGACTCACAGTGACCCTATGAACAGCAGATGTGAACCCTGTTCTGTCCTGTGCCGTCCTCATCTCTGACATAATTGATCTCATTGCTGTAGCTGCTGTGAACCTTCACTGTTCCAAGCATGATGTCCTTTTCCAAGGAACAGTTCCTCCTAACAATGTGCCCAAAGTGAGATGAAGCTTCACCATCCTTGCCTCTGAGGAGCACTCACTCAGGTGAAACATTTTTTAAACACTAATCTGACTTGATCAGCTGGCCCAGTGGACAGAAAGCGATGCTACCAAGCCAAAGGTGGGTGACTTTTAATCTGCGGCCCTCGGGCCTATCTTTCATTGTTTTTGTTCAGACATTCCTCTAGGTCGTATAGCCCTGGTGTACAAGTTGCCGTCCTGCGGTCAACTTGTGGTTGCTGTGAGGCTGAACACTGTGACACTGATGTGTCAAATATGTTATTGTTGGTTACCCAAATGTGGACAGAGAGTGGGGCAGAGCTCCCGATTAAACAAGCTTGGAAGGAGGAGTGGCATCCACTTCCATAATAGCTTGCCTCCGGAAACCCTATGAACTTGGAGAGAGGATGAAAGGCACCCAAGCATTGAGGACTCTCCTTCATATGGTCGCTATGAGTTGCCTGCAACTCGACGGCACTTAACAACAACAACAATCTGACTTGAAGCTTGGAAGCAGGAGTGGCATCCACTTCCACAATAGCTTGCCTCTGGAAACCCTATGAACCTGGAGAAAGGACAAAAGTTATAGAGGAAATGTCCAGGACTTTCGTTCATAGGGTCGCTGTGAGTTGCCTGCGACTCGACGGCACTTACCACCACCACCACCACCAACATCACCACAATCTGACTTGGCACCATGGTCAACAAAATAAAAAGTCGTACTACATCCTCCCTGACCTGGCCTCTGGTCCACTTCATTTCCTCACCACGGTGGCATTCGACCAGAAGTACTAGTTTCCTTGGATTTGTCATAAACTGTTGTTACTCTCTGTACTTGTTTCCACATCTTTAAAATGGGATGAGAATATGAACTCACGGAATCTTCACAACTACCAAAGGCCTGGAAAATGCACATTAAAGATGTACCTGTTATAATTATATAGAAAGTCAATAGATGAGGAAGCCAATGAAGCAACCTTCCCAACATTCAATGCCTTTTAGGTGAAGAGACAAGCAGCTCTGCGGGTATAGTGCATTATGTATTACACTGCTAACTGGAAGGTTGGTGATTTGAACCCGCCAGCTGCTCCACCAGAGAAAGGTGGGCCATCTCCTCTCAAAAAGATTTGCTGCCTCTGAAACCCAATGAGGAAAACTTATGAGTTGTAATCAACTCATAAGTGGGAGTGGTTAAGAAGAAAGGACAAACACCTGCCACCCCAGGTGAATCAGCAGTGGAAGAATGTCTCAGAACTCTTAGTCTCAATTGGCCACTTAAGTTTAATTGTAAAAGACTGGTTAATGTTAACAATGTATCGCAAAACCTTCACAAGGAAAGGAATGCTTTGTGGACCATTTGTTTTCTTTTTCCTGTGGCAGTTTTAAGTTACTAGTTTTTAAAATCAGCATTTTAAAAATGGAAATAACTTGACTGAAAATGTTGGGACCCACTAAAACAAAGTTTATTGAGATAAAAGAAAAAGGGAAGTGAAAAATTGGGGAACATATCGAGGACTGTGGACTTAGACAGCTGTTTCCTTCTGAAGACTGTCATGTAACTTCGATCATGTCTTGAAGCCTTGGATCAAGTGGTTGCTGAATGGAATCCAATTCTACAGAAAAGTTATCTCAGGGTTAGACAATACAAGTGAAGCAGAAAAATTTACGAGACTTAGAATTTAAGCAAGATTGTTGTTAGGTGCTGTAAAAAGAGCAAGGGCCACGTGGGGAGTGCCTTGTGTGATCTACATCAACTTCACAGGGGGCACTGTCTCTGTCCACAGCATCAATAACACAAAACCAGTTTCCACGAGGTCAGACATGGCGCCCACACTCACATGCCTCTTGATACTCAACACCAATCTTTCTAATTTGCTGGGTCCAAAATTTGATGTGAGGGTTCACAGACCACACAGAACCATAATGGGGGAGTCAAAAAAGGTTATAATCCAGATAAATATCAGAATATAGTCAAGACAGCTCCAGAAATGTGCATACAGTCACCTCAGCCTCAAGCCTCACAGCTCTAAGTGTTCCCAAGTTCTCAGTCCTGCCAATATTGGCGTCTCCTCTCCCCTCTAAGTCTCATCTCTTGTCAATTCTCCAGTTCAGCCGTGGCTGCTGTTGTCATCTCAAAGTGTGTCCTACACTTTCCTGCCTCCTCCTCACCAGGGTGGGGAAGGTCTCTTCCCTTTTTTTTCCTGCCTGGGGAGAATGCTGAGTCTTCTCGCTAGAGCGATTCAATTTATAGGTGAGACTAGCCAATTCTTTTGTAGATTGTTGAGACTGGCCAATCCCCTTGTGGAATGGTAGACAGCCAATCCCTTGTGGATAAGCTACCATGCCCCATTCACATATTCCCACCCATTTAGATAGCAAAGTTAAGTCATGGCTGAAAGAGTCAGGCTGAAAGATAAAACTCCATAGGTTGGCTCTGACTCGGAGCGATTCTATTTGCAGAAAGAAACGCTGCCCCGCCCTGTGCTGTCCTCCTCACAATCACTACCAGGCCTGAGGCCACTGTTGCAGCAGCAGGTCTGTGTTAATAGAGGATCAGTTTCCTAAAATTAGTTTTTATGAAAAAACGCACACTGTACCACCAAGGCTACTTGAAAGAACAAGGGAAAGAGTAAAAATACCCATCAATACAATAGCTTTTGTGGTATATTCGCACAATGGAATACTATGCTGCATTAAAAAACAAGGAACTCATGCAATATTATTCAAAATGGTTGACTCTGGAGAACATTATGCTGAGTGAAATATCCCAGTCACAAAGGGACAAATATTACATGATGCCACTGTTGTAGAATGGGACTGTCCTTGGGGTTGGGGAGAGACTGAGTAAGATGGGTTCAATGATGTGTGTGCTGCACTGAGGCGGAGGAGGGAGGGAACTGCTTAAAAGAGATATATAACTGGGTGTTTCTGTCATCACAGGAGTCTAGAGCGAGGGCTGCATGGTGGAGGGGACCTGGGGGGAGTTTGTGGAACAATGAAAGAATCTTTTCTTTTACTTTTCCATAATTTTTGACTCATGTACTTATAACTTGTTAGTCAAATTTGTGTCTTCTAGGTTGCAACACCCCCATGATACATCTTCAAGGATATGAACATGTATGGCCAAGCACAATCAATAAGAGTGCATCTAAATTCCAAAATCAATCTCCATAATAGTCTATGTGTTTCCTACTGCCAAACGGGCCCTTTAGAGTAGTGAGAGAAGATCTTCACCCTGAAACCCACAGCGTCCCTTTTCAGCAGGAAGTAGCTAAGAGAATACGCCATCCCCTTTTCCTTATGACTCAGGGTGAAGTCTCTCTCAGGGAGGAGTGATAGGGAATGGCAAAGGACACACTGACAAAGAAGATTAATCAGAACTGGCTTTGACAAGCACTGTGGCATTTGGACAAGAACAAACTGGGAGGAGGGCAGAGAGAATGGTGCAGCAGTGAATGAATGGAAACCCAAAATCTCTGTAAATGTTTATGAAAATTAATAAAATATAATTATAGAAAAAAATACAATAGCTTTTTCTTTTCCTCTTGAGTTCAAAATGCTTTTTGATGGTTAAAGCAAAACTGGTAATACAGTCTGATGTGATTCTCAGAGTACAAAGCTTATTGCCACAGAAGGCAGCTCTGGAGGCCTAGCCTGCGCTGTGGATCCATTACCTGCACTGAGGGGCCAGGTCTGACTTGGCCCTGACTTGACAGCAATGGCCTCCGGACTAAGCCACCAGAGTGTGTCCTCAGTGCATATATAAACATTTAAGGCAATGACTATCAAGGGGGATAACGAAGGCAATTATAACCAAGGAAGGATGAACAGGCTTTAGACGGAGGTCAAGTTACTACCCTTCACTTAAACTAGTAAGATGTCAACACAACAACACTGATGGCAACGATGACAGCATGACTGATTGTGATGCTGTTGTTTTGAATCCCAGTCACTCTGTGCACAACAGAAACAAACACTTCCCGGTCCTGCACCATCCTCATAATTATTGGTTTGTGCCCAATTTTTTTTTTTTAAATAAAATTTTTATTTTATACTGGCTTACCTTCGAAGTTTATAGACAATGTTTTTGCACACTACCTCTTTCCCATTTTCTTTGCCACCCCACCCTCCAACCATCAAATTGTGTGACCTATGATTTATAAAACCCCTGCAGCCTATCCTCACCTCTCTTCTCTCATCCTCCCTTGCTTGGATCCTCTATTTTATTAGTTAACTAATTCTACAAAATCATCTTATACAGTATTTGCCCTTATGGGACTGAGTTAGTTCACGTAGCATAATGCTCTCTAGTCCCTCCCAAGTTAGGTAGTGATTTACAGAATCATTGCTCCTGCGTGCTGCGTAGTATTCCATCATGTGAAAGTTCCACAGTTTCTCAATCCATTCAATTGGGGTTGGACATTTGGGCTGTTTCCATGTTCTTGTGACATTGAATAACTGCTCATTCTTGCAACTCATCTTGTCGAGGACTCTCCTCTTTTTCAACGACCCTCTGCTTTACCAAGCATGTCCACCTTCTCCAGGGACGGGTCCCTCCTGACAACATGTCCAAAATATGTGAGGCAAAGACCTGCCATCCTCCTTCCCAAGGAACATTCTTGCTGTGCTTGTTCCAAGGAGTCATTTATCCGTCTGGAAATCCATGGTGTATTCAATGTTCTTCTAACACAAGAATGTGCAG